AGAAAAATGATCAAAGCTCCACGATCAAACCATCCAGTTCATAGAATGAAAATTCCATCAAAAGATAATATAGATAGATTGTTCTAAGTTGGACTTTTCATGATGGAGAACACTTGTATCAGCTAAGTTCAACTGGATATTATTTGAAACTAGGAAAATAATCTCCAATTTTACTGGCATATGATTCAAGTGGATTTTTCACTCTTCCATGGATTTTAAATGTTAGCAAATGATTCTTTCTGGTGAACACTTGAACAAGAGTTGAACACATTATAATTGACTAATCATCAGCAAATGATCATTTAACTCAAATGAATTCATGTCTTCACCACTCATGGAGTGTTGAGATTATCAAGAACTATCTTAGAGCAGTGAATTTAGTAACAGTATCATTGATTAAGCATAGAATTAATGATTTAAGAGGGAAAAATGAGTTAGTAACTATAATCATGTAAATTCAAACCAGTTAGTTTAAACCTCACAAAATGACTCATATCAACTGTTAATGACTTTATGTGTTGATACGATACCTCGGTTTGTCTACACCTAGTTTGTTTTTCAACTTGCTCCTACACCAGCCAACGGATTACATTCAGTTAGGAGATTGTTGGACATATGTAACATATATCTCGACCAGTTCAATTAACGAAAACTAATTAACTGATTCGTCATCTTTGCATAGCACCCTACGTTCAAATTCAATAATAAAGGATAGGAATTTATTTGATTGATTATGTTTAAAAATGAAAATTTTCCTTTGAGTAAGGTGGTTGACAGTTGATGATTTGAATGTGAGCAAAATGTTATGTTGACTTGGTAATAAATAGAATAGACAGAAGTAGCTTCACATAAAACTCTTTGCATAAAGTGATAATCGAAGATGGTGCAAGTTAAGGGATTACGTCTCCATAATATTACTATTAGTTATTGGGAAGAGGTAATTCTTTCGATTGCTGAATACTTGTCTCATTTCATCTGAAGACTAAAGTATTTGGAATTTAACCAGAGTTTTTTAAATAATATGCTACCCTCTCTACTCGTTTCTTACTCTTTGTAAAATCAATCAATCGTTAAGCCATTCGTTCTATTAGGTCTTTCTTAGTGCAGATTGAATCCCATCGACCAAGTTGCAATGTGGTCACTAATCTAGGTGACTTAACATTGCATGCACAGTGTTGAGATAGTTAAACTGTATAAGGATAGAGCAAGGAAAAGTGAAGGCTAATAATAAAATTTGAGTACATGCAAACATGGGGAGAAGTATGAATTATTGAGTGATATCAAGCAATCAACACTTGAGCTACAGTCTGTCATGTGATTAGGTGATCATGATTATACAAAGAAATGCGCGAATTGTTACGGTTCAAATAACATTGTCTGTTAAGTAAGCCAATAAAAGGGCTTGATTGAAATAACCCATAATCGAAACTGGTTGTAGGATAATCGATTGGCGGTAACATGAAGGGGGTGTTTGTCAACCTCTGATTAATTTTTATGCAGAATTAATAGTTTCGATGCCATGTAAGTTCTGGCCAATGTGACGTCATCACCTTTGGTAATGAAACATAATAGATTCCAGGGGTTATGGATAGAAAGTTTTTCATTTGTGAAGATAAACTGTTTGTCATTTTCGCTGTCAAATCCCTGACTATATGTTTACAAGTAATCTAGTTAAAGAACCTAGCTTTGGAAGGCTTTTGTAATTTATGTATATATATATATATATATATATATATATATATATATAATGCCGTCTTGATTTGCCCTTACTTTTGGATAAACAGATTATTCTATCACTACATAGCTGTTCTGTGTACTAATATATTTGTCCTAGTCAAATGGTCACTCGTAGCTCTGAGGTTTGAACATATCCTTGTGTATACACTAAAATTCAACCTTCACTATAGGCTGCATAATAGCCTATCTATTCACTTGTATTTAACATATTACTCATCTGACTTAAGAACTGTCTCATACTTAATAGTAACAATTCCACTTTGTAATTAGTAGAGAAACTGCCTGCCGATCCTCAGGCAGTCTGTACTGAAACTTTCAGGCTGTTGTAGGGCCAGTGAAATTACACTGAGCACTAGCCATTGAATATCGAACAAAGTCATCAATCCTCGTCAATGTCAAGGACAACCAACGCGCATCAGTTAATCGTACGCCATGGACTGGCCCATGCGGCAGTGGTCTTACCTTCGCTTGTATCTACTTTAACTAATATATTTCTGTGATAACGTCCTCTGTGTTGTACAGTATTTAAAGCATCTATAGTACCTTGATACGTCAATGAAGTAATCTATTTAAGGTGCAAACCGCGAAGTGTAACTTCGACATTAGCTAGTTTGTCACACCACTCACGTCTAACTCGAGTAAGCCTCCAATCATTTCGACATAGATCATCCACGCTGGTGATCTACACTGTATAACGCCCTAGTAGTTTATCTGAATTTCAAACATTGTATTTAAAGCTGAAAGGTGGCTAGCAGTCCAAAACATCGGTGAAAACGTTCAGATAACCAGAAAGATCTAACCGTTCCATTTTTTCTAGCTAGAGGCTTATTTTCACGGTACAAAGGCGGTATGTGAAACCGAAATGAAGGACATAACAAAAATAAGACAAATGATTCTCACTCGCAGTGTCAAAACGGTCTTCATGAGTGTAGTAAGAAGGTTTTTAATCATCTCATACACTGAGATTCTATTGTCGAGTACTTACAACGTTATTTATTTTATGCAGGAATTCATCAATTTGAAATCGTCTCGAGTCAGTTTTATCATTATCAATTAATCCAGGTGAAGATGCATTGTATTCTCGTTCCCAATTTTGACCTTGCACCCGGTAACTACCAGAAATAGTCGTAAATTAATACCGAAGCTATGGTAATCCACGGTGAATTACTCATCTCGTTATCTGTCGTTTTGCCGGCTAACATAAAAAATGCAGTTTTCTACGACGAAAATAGCCACTTATCACCCTACACATTTTAGTAGCTGCAGCATTGTGTTTAGCTCACCATTGTATTTGTTAGATGCTGAGTAGTTTTTCAGTGATGTTCGTGAACTTTGATGTTGTAACAAACCAAAGCATAGAATCCAAAACTTCGAAAAATGAAATAGGTAAAGAGTTGATTTTCGCTCATACTGACCAAGATTGCTGACGTGGTTCTCTTACTCCATGAAGTGGATGATAATCGTCTCAACATAAGAATCTGCTTCAGTTCGTAATTTTGAGGAGTATTATAATCGTCATCCATGGTGGCTATGCTGAGTGATGTTGGTCGCGAATCCCCACTATTCGCTTGGTGAACCCTCTCTTCCCCGTTTGTATATGCACTCGAATCCCATTACTAGCCTTCTCCTTTCCTAGCTACGCCTTATTCGATCTGACTATAAATTTACTTCGGTATGTGTTCGCATATATACGCTCGCCTTGCTGCTTCAAATTCGTTCGATGTACTTATGACTTTGCTTTCTGTGCTATCCCCTAATAAAATGTGTTCCGCGCTACTTACAGCCTTCTGATTTCAGGCACAGTTGAGATTTATACAATGACGGCTGCAAAGGTGATTGATTAACGAAGCAGTGCTGTAACAGTAACTTCACTAGTTCCCAGGAAGAGAAATCGAAATTTATATGATTTTCCCGTTTCCAGATTCATCACTCCTGTTACATGAAAACGTCGATAAAATGCAAATTTCTCAAAAACCTCTAGCTATTTAAGCCAGAATTTTGAGTGCAGAACTATAATTTAGTGTCAACCGAAGCGTATAGATTTCATGAAATTCCGAAGAGCACATGTTGAGTGTCTTAGGCGAATTGAATCAGTCCAGGGACATTGAATACCCATTTTGATTTCAGTGAGCTACACTGATACAAAGTTCCTCTCCCTTATTTACAACTGACAGTAATAACTGTTAATGGTAAAAAGCAACGAAGCTTATGATAGTTTTAAAGTGCAACTAGACAGTGTTTACTCTGACTTGAATCATCGTTATAGCAGATCGTTTTAAAATAATGATGATACAATTCTTATCTTTCTGACATAATGTAAGCTACTTGTGTCAAGAAATGTGGAATTCCTAGTTGAGACATGAAACAGCTATAGTCCTTTAATAAGAAAATATTATTTTGTAACAGCTCACAGTGGAACTGTTTCATTCTGAATTACATTTCCTGTTTCGATACCACTAATGCTTTTATCAAAATTTTCCTGCACTTTCGTTTCTTGTCCAGATTACTTCACATCTTGTTGCATTATTGTTTGGTGTGTCATTTCGGTTGACAGGTTCGGTACGAGTCGGAGTGGTCAGAAGCAAAATTAATAAATTTATACCCTATTTATGTTTTCGAAAATTACTCATATGATTAAATCGATCTTACTTTCTTACTATGTGTTTCGGTAAAAAAATTGTGCTAGTTCCTACCTATTTGTAGTTGTCAACTCCCTGTCAGTTTTAACATCGTCCAATTAAGTAAAGTTGGTTTCATTGGTGGGGTGAGGATAAACGTCACTCTCGTTTTCAATTAGAACCTGGCGACCGCCCAACATGAAGCGGGGCATTTTTATCTACATCATCATAATCCGTGATGAACGGTGAGTTTCGTTATCTATTGTTTTCGCTGGTCGAAGTGAAAAAATACCATTCCATAGTTCTATGGACGATCCATCGTGGAAGAAAAACTACAACTTTGCAAAATCGTATTTCCGATTAAATACATTATGAAAGTTTACTAACTAAGTAAACAAGAACATAATCGTAATTACCGACAACGATACACTTGAATTATTCGACAACTAGAGTTTATCCCAGAACATTTATTCTTTAAGCTTGATCTAATTTCAAAGTAAAACTCAACCTTTTCACTACCAGTAATTATGTTCTATTATCCGGACATATATTTTCAGAGGGTAATAGTTCATTATTACAGTAAAGCGAGGTATCAAGTTTTGATGTTTGAAGACTTATGCGATAGTTTAATTGTGAAGGTCGCTGATGAGCTTAATACATAGAAGAGTTTTATCAGCAAGTCGTTGTCTTCTTCGTTCACAACACACTGAAAGTTAGTTTTTTCTCCACAAAATGTATTCCTAGATTTCAGTAGGTGTTGTAGCCCCCGAAAAACTTGGTGATGTCGAAAATTACCCTGGACACATCAAAACCAATTTCTTACAAAAATCTCTTCTGAGTATTGGGAGCGGGATTGGGTGTCTGATTAACCCAAAAAGGGCTGGTAACTGAATCTTTCTCCTTTCATCCTTCAGATCTCCTCAGCACATTTGGAGAGACTAGCGGGGAACTCGCTTTAGGCCGAATATTAAATAGAATGCTGAATGATCCTGATGGTTCTCGCATTTTACGGTATACCTTGCTCCTTTATTGACTTTTAGTGATCGGCCAACTATTCGTACTAACACAATTGATTTAGTTAGCCTTCGTAAGCTGCCTGAGGGTACGTTCGGAAAAGCGTATACGAAGTTTCTGGATAAATATGTAAGCTCTTCAATTTTATTGATCATAGCCTCAGGGTTATTCACCTGATGAAAGACACTATGTTAGATTTGTAGATGACCCAGATTTAGCATACGTCATGCTTCGGTATCGGGAAATACATGATTTGGTTCATACTTTGCTTGGTCAACCTACTGACATGCTTGGTGAAGTCGTTGTTAAATGGGTAGAAGGCATACAAACTCTTCTTCCTATGTGTTTAACTGGTGGTTACTTTGGATCTCTGCGTCTCGCACCCAAGTTAGTGCACAAATAAATTTCGCCACTTATTTTTATCGCTTGTTCTATTTACTCTTCAGTAATAAGGATAGTAGGTTGGTGAACCTGTGTTAATCCTAACAGATTGTCTTCCAGTGAGGGTCCAGTTTTTCCTTGAAAATATTCAATGATGGGGCTTATACCACTTGTTCGGGCAAGGCGTTCCAATCATTGACTACTCGATGAGAAAAACGGAACCTCACTTTAAGTTTATTAGATCGCGGATTATAAACCTTCTTGCTATGACATCGGAGATTATTAGTGCTGGAGGGAGCAAAAAGATAAGACATATTAACACCCAAATCACAACTAAAGATACGAAATGCCAGTATAAGGTCACCTCGAGTCCTACGATACGACAAGGGGAAAAGGTTTAGGCGTTTTAAACGCTCATAGTAAGGGAGTTTGGAAAGACTCTTCACTAATTTCGTTCCCACACGCTGGACACGCTCAAGTGAGTTAGTAACGTTTACCAGACATGGGCTAGCTGCTTGGATACAGCACTCTAAATGTGGTCTTACATAGGTGGGATATAAAATTCGAAACATTTCCTCGTCAAAAGATTTGAACGCTCGAAGTGACCATAACGCACGAAAACCTTTGACAGTGGATGCGTTGCAATGCGCAGTTGATTTTAGGTCATGAATTGATATTACTCCTAAGTCTTTATGTTCTTGAACGCATGGATGATGCCTTGGGGTACACCACTTTTGACCGGCTTCCAATCGGATAGCGTCCTATTGACCCTCACTCTCTGTCTGCGGTCACATAAGAAGTTTCCTATCCACTCCTGTACAGTGCCTATTATTCCGAAGCTCAAGAGCTTCTGCATAAGACCTAAGTGTGAAACCTTGTCAAATGCTTTGCTAAAATCTATGAATATCACATCGACAGACAGACAGACCTTTATCTAAGGCTGCTGTCCAATTCTCTCTCACAATAATTAAGTTAGTCAAGCATAAATTCTTGTTACGAAATCCATGTTGCTCAGGAGCTAACAGATTGTGTGAATCTATGTGGCTTAGCAACCTAACCCGAATTATCTTTTCAAGTAACTTAACGACAATGCTAGTCAGACTGACAGTTCGGTAGTTAGATACGATCTGTCTCTGACCATCCTTAAATATAGGACTGACTATAGCATCTTCCCAATCCCTAGGGTGTTGAGCGAGTGAAATGGACATGTCCGCAAGAGATGACAGCAGCCGTGGATGTAACCCGTCAGGACCCGCTATCTTACAAGGTTTGAGGTTAGTCATCAACGGAAGGACAGTTTCCTCAGTCACCTGTACTGATTCAAAGGCTGGTATCTCGGTGTGATTGGGACAAGTATTTGTTACAATAAACGTAGAGTAGACTTCGCTAAAATAGTTTGAAAATGTCTCAGCTTTGGCCCGATCTGATTCAGCTAGTAAATCTGAATTATCGTGTAACAATAACGGGGGGATACCATCACTATGTTTCATTCGCCGTTTAAGAAACGGAAACAATCGTTTCGGACAAGTACGGCTATCATATACAAACTGTCGTTCGTAATTAGTACGGGATTCAGCTTTGGTTTTCTTACAAATATTCCTGAGTTCTTGGTACTCACGCTTAAATGATGCATGACCTGTAAACAAGAATAAGCCCCAGAAGTGTTTCCTACGCTTTACCAGCTTCCGGGTTTCCTTAATAATCCATGGAGGGCAATGCGATAGCTTACGTGCTGACCATGGGATAAACGGAGAAGTTACGGACTCGAATGTAGCCCTAAACTTATTCCATTCGTCTTCGATCGATTCCTCTGCGTCAACCGACCAATCAGTCGAGATAGCACAGTCTCTGATTGCCGGAATATTAGCCCGCCAGATATTGGGACGGGGTGGAGCAGATACAAATCGTATACCATGTGTCCTAAACTTAAAGTGAAGTACAACGTAATCACTGTTCGCTAGTGGAGGAAGGTGCTGAATATCAAAGACATCCTCACAGTGGTGGGTGAGGGCGAGGTCCAGCAGTGACGGCTCACGTTTCAAGTCAATGTGTCGGTTTTGTGATACATTGGACAAGTGCACACTGAATAACGGTTGATAAAAGGTCGCTATCGAAACCTCCACCTGGAGCTTTAAGCTCTATCCAGTTGATGTGCGGTGCATTGAAGTCCCCAACGATGAGACAACATTCTGCCATACTACAAGAACAGATGTGTCTTAGGACAAAGTCGTCAGCAAGACAACACGGACTACGGTATATTCCCCTTATAGTCACTAACCCATTTCTAGATTTAATCTTACAACATGCTACCTCATGTGTACCACTAACATGAGCATCCGATATGATTGATTGTATACGAAAGTGATCCCTAATGTATAGCATTATGCCTCGACCCTTGCGACTTAAAACTATCACTTCTAATGCAGATATAGCCTGCAATGATGAGAGAACATTCTATATCTACGGTGAACCAAGTTTCTGTAACAACGATTATATCGGGACTTAATTCATCCACCATTAGACTTAGCTCGGACGTTTTATTCCTAAGACTACGGGCGTTCGTGTAGCACACACTTAAGGTGTTTTGTTAGTCATTTGTTCTACCCATACAGGCCCCGGAAGCATTGGCTTCCAAGACCTGACTACCCGAAAACCCTTAATGGTAAGGTTAGTTTCACCATTTAACTTGCGAGCTCTCAATTCCGTAAGAGCATTCTTCCACTTGATTCGATCCTCAAGAGGCCAATCTGGTCGGATACGAATATTTGAATCACGAATGTTTTGTGCGTTTTTCAACAATATATCTCTTTCTTCAAAATTCCCGGGAACCAGCTTCAAGATCGTTCTTGGTTGGGTCTCGCCTCCAACCCATTTACCAAGTCGTATCACTTTCGTGGTATGTACTCCTGAAAACTCTTCAGGTAGTACGTTTCTTACCACGGATTCCACTACAGATCATATGCATGTCTCTTAGAAGGGTCATTGTCTATCGACTCCTCTAGATTCCAAATAATTAAACTAGGGAGTGGTTTAGCATTTGGAATCGTTAAATATACTTTTTTTTCTTTCAGACAAACGGAGCGTTTTGTAAGAAGCCATCTGGAATATGCCATTCGTACTGGCAGAGAAGCTCGTTTTCTAATGTGTGTTTACTTTGAAGAACATTGGGAAGATAATTTGGAAGATTTTAGGTCATCCTTAAATATTCAGTCGCCTCCACACCCCAGAAAACTGGATTAAGATGCGTTTCGAAGTACTTTCAATTGTAACTTTGTAAATAGTGTAGTTTGCTCTGTTTTTTGACTAGCGACGTTTCATTACAATTTCCTAGAATTTTTAACCAACCTTAAATATATGTCTGTAGTTAGTTTGCTAGGAATTTGTGTTGCTGATTGTTTAATTCAATCTGTTTCGTTGTCTTTGGCACTTAATAAAGCCTTAATACTGTATGAACTGTTTTTGAATGTATAAATGCCCTCGAAATTCTTGGTGGCGCTTTAGACTTCGTCACGTTTGATCACGAGATTTTGTCCTGAGGTCAGGCTTACTTATCGTGATAAACCAGTCGAGCTATATTGGCTGGAACAATTGTTTCTCAAGGTTCTACCATGTCAGACAGGTCGGCTGAAGAACGGTAAGACTCAAAGCAACAAACTCAAAGTCCGAATGCGAAGTCGTACTGCTGATTGTACAGAGGAGTGGCGGTAGTTAGAGGGAAGAGACTGAGTGGTTAGGGCGTTCAACATGTACTCACTTAGTGCCATGTTTGAGACCCCCTCTACTTCGGTTTAGGCAACCGGATTGTATGACTCATAGATTATTAAAGTGAAAGATCAATAGGGTCTAAACAAATATGAGAGGGCGTGTAAGTACTTCACGGTCATGTATGTCGCGAAATGAAGATATTTCTTAGATTACCAATGGGTCATTTAAAGATGAGTCGACACAAACTTGCTTACACAAATCAATAGTCAACCAGGTCTTAGTCATAGACATCGTCAAGACTGATGTAAATATGTGTCAGTTCAAATTGGCGTTCCTCAAATTATAGTAAGTTTTGAGATAATCAACAAGATGTAAACGATAAGAGACGAAATAAATGAATACCTATAACAGTCGAGTAGTCATTGTGGATCAACTTTGTATTTCTGAATTAGGAAATATTTTGATCTATGTGAACTAGATAGACGACGATTAGTACACAACATTTCAATGATAATCCTTCACACCACTAGAAGGGAAACAATCCTTGTAAGGATGATCCACAGATTAGTACTCCAATAGAATTAATTAAGGGCCTATGAGAGTGAGCAACACAAAGTCACAGTGAACGTACTGAAAATGAAATAACTTGATTCAAGTGTAAATGTAATGACGATTAACAAAATTCCATTCAAGTCAGTATGTGAATATCAAAACTGACTTATTCTTAAACACAGTAATTGAAGCTTTAGTTCCCCAGCAATAATCGAATAGCAAATATAATATGAAAGAACGAGTAAAAAGCATCCAATAGCACTGACCTTAAAATCTAAGATGAAAGTCCTCGTAGCCTCAGAATTCCATGAATAATATGCTGTCTGTTAGTGCTCTTTTTGAGTCTCAGTTGAAAATACTTAACCGGTGACTACCATTTCAACTAAGACGTATGAATTACACTCGGCATTGTCAAATTATTTCTTATTACCAGGATTTGCTGTGTGTCAATACTGAGGAGCTTGTATGGGTCCTTCGTATCTAAAAGGCAGAATACCGAAACTAATCAATAAATCAACAGCTTCAGACAAGATCATCACTAAAGTCCAGTCTAAATCGAATGCTTTATTTATGCTAACGGCTCTAGTAATTATTACATTGGTCATTTAAACAAAATACTGTCATGAAAATAAGACTAGTACAATGAGTAAGAAGATATTTTTAAGAAAGTATTGGTTATAAAGTTAGTTATTGATATACATGGAATATAATTTGATTATTATTACGAAATATCTATGATACATGCTGCTGATGAATGATATCTGTTGAGGTCATTATGTGTAAATATAACTCTAATTCAGCATCGCCTTCGTTACGTTGCTTACTGTTATTCAGTAACTTCTAAGGGTAACGTTCTATATTCTTCTCATGATTCCTCGATTTTCCACTTTATGTCGATCCAATGGAATTAGTTCTCACGGAGATAAAATGATTAGATTTCAATATGAAGATCATTGGTAGTGGGTGTTGTGGCACATAGGTTAATCATTTAATAAGAATGAACTCTTTCAGGGTAAATTTCTTTTGGGCGTGAGGTTACGTATTCGAATTACTCATTGGTTTTTTCAATGATATATAATAGATGCCTAGTGCCCTGGTATGGCCGAGAGTAAGAAAAGTTAGTTCTCCTGAAATGATCATACGTATACAGTCACTGCAAGAAGGTCCTACTTACTGCCTTCTCGTGGAATTACTGTTGTTTACGAAATTGAGAGGACGAAAAGCGAATGTCCGCCTCTTTAAGTGGTTTGGTGGTATGAGGAATCCACCTAGGGGAGTTGGAAAACCGTGATTCAAACCCATTGGTGCACATGGCCTCCAAGATCCTTGGGGAAGGAATGGCGTATAAAATTACGGTTGGTCACCAACTACCATGAGACTGCATTTCCTGACGTTTCTCCACTGCCTTGTGAATCAGACCTTTAGATCAAAAGGTGCGGGTGTGGAACCCTAAGGAAACCACCTGCATCGGTTTGGACACCTAGACAGTACCACAGCATACACACAAATCAAGTGTCTTGTGTGGTGCATATGTATTCGGTGCCCTTTCGTACCAATATTTATGTGTTCAAATAAATGAATAGGTGCATGATAAAATATCTTTAAAACTCTCATTTCCTCACCAGAAACCTGTATGAATGATTATAAATTTACACTATAATTGAAAATTCAGGAGAGATTTATAGAGTTTCTCAGTGAATAGCTCTTCTGAAAAACCCTTCAGAATATTGTTTTTAGCTTATATATCTTGTTCTAAATCACAATAACGGGATTTTTCGATTAATGGACTAAGCTACGTATAATTGATTTAAGTAGTATCATTGAAATAATAAAATAAATGGAACATTTTAAAATCGGTCAAATGGACTTTCGAATGTATATATATATAGATTTACCTGAAATAACAGTGTGATAATGACAAAGAATATTCAAAATAATCTACTTAATCAATATTTGATAATCATTTATATACCCAGTACGTGACATTGAAGATATCAATGTAAAGAGAACACAGATATAACGTATGCCATTGTTAAGCTATTTTCGAAATTGAAAACTATCCGGAATCGGGTAGTAGTATTGAAACTTCTAAGAGATCTTCTTTGGTCAGATAAGTGAGACAACACTATATTTGTTTCCATGTAGAAGCTATTCCCTCTTCATGATAATATGGTTGTTGATGACTGAATGACAGAAATTGTCGAGTGATATTAATTATAGATTTCGTTTACGAGATACCTCTTGTATTGTTTTATTTACTGTATGTCTTCAGTGGGCGTGCTCTAATGGTTTTAAGTAGTAATGCCACTAGATAATGAACTATCATAATATCAACTTCAAGTGTTTACTCCTAGATCTTGTAAAAACAGTTATACAAAATACATATCTCAGTGCTTGTGGTTGTTTTTAAAGTTATACTTCAACATACGTTCTACCGTGAGACTCCTCAGCGATGCGACTCCACGATCCCGCTCGTGGGATTCGAACCCAGGACCTGCAGTCTTGCGCGCGAACGCTTAACCTACCGGGCCACTGAGCCGGCATCCAATGATGTTAATATCTAACCTCAACCAATGCACGAAATTTTATTGTATGAATAGTTCACCAAACTTTGATTTAAGATGACTTGCTTTATATTTTGTTTAATGACTCCTTCTTCCAATCGCGATCATTTAATTGCATCTATTAATAAGATAAATCAATGTCTAATGGGGGGGGGGCAGAAATCTATCTTATTTAATATACTTTTATCATCAGATTGATAGTTCTGTATTGACCTGTAGTGTATATTTGTCTAGCCCTTTCAATTCTGATCAAATTTTATCAACTAAGCTATGATATATTCATTAATCTAACTGACTACTTTGGTGTACTATAGTATAATATGTGGTTGTAGGGCAGTCTGTTGACCATCTCCAACTAGTACACACATAAGTTATCTAATTACCACCAAGATGGAACTTCGAACAAATGTACTTCTATTCAATTTATACCTTGTAGCAAATGCATTCTGGTCAGATTGTTCCACTAGAATTATTTCTCAAAATATTCTACGTAATTAAATAGTCTAGTTCGAAAAGCGAAGGGGGTAATGAATCAAATCTCAACATTTTTGAAGCTTTAGTAACTCACCAGTTCAAATCTGATCTCCACTTGTAAAAGTAACAATTACCATTTCTCATTCTTCCATGACCTTGTCACATATATACTGTAGTGAACGTGAACACACAAGTGGGGAGAATCGAATGTATTTAAATACAACATTACAGAACATCATAGTAAAATCTAAAAACCCAACAGTAAATATTTCATTTACAAAATATCAATCCATCGTCTCAGACTTCATCGTTGTCTGATTTGCACACCAATCATTCTTTGTGGTCGTTCTGTTTTCTTCGATCTTCTTAACCTCCTAGCTTCAGGCATTTCACTTTAGAATGAAGATACATACTACTTATATGTGTCGACATCAGTAGCACACATCACAGTACTATATTTTTATCTAACATATGAAATATTAACCAAATTTTTTTTCATACCACCTAAAACCTCCAAACCTTTTGTGACTCGCTGTGCATTTTTCAATTGGCTAATAGTTTTCTAAACTCATTATAAATACCACTGTATAGTTTCAATAAATGACTTCATTGTGTGGTATGCACTACTGATGTCGACAGATATAAGTAGTATGTGTCTTCATTTGAAAGTGAAAAGTCTAGCATCAGAAGGTTAAGAAGATCAAAGAAAAGAGAACTAGAACAAAGAAGGAATACTGTGGGAATAAAGGAAGAGTGAAATCTGATTTTACGAAGATTTTCTGTAATTTTTTATTCAAATACATTCGATTGTCCTCATTTGTGTGTTCATATTCTCTCTATTAATTGGTTTCTTCCTGTTATAACTTGTGAACCTGTATGCCCTGTTTATTGTATAACTTAACAATACAGACAATTAGAGATAAGTGAATTCTCGATGAGACGAGG